ATTATGGTATTTCAGCAGCCCGACACAATTGTTGATCTTAAAGACCAAATATGCTGCAATAGTTCCACTGGTTAGGGATAAACTTTTAGCCTTTGTTTGAGCTTCCTAGCCTACTGGATTTAATTCAGACTTTAAATCTCACTTGAATACAATTCATTTCTTTAATTTAGCAATCTGGGAGTACATGCCTCAGACATTTTGAATGAGTAATGTGCAACTATTTATTATGTGAATTAGTTTGTCCAAAAACTCTGTCCAAGTCCCGATAATATTTGACGTACTTACTGTTCCATATCTGCGATAGTACTTAACATTAAAATTTCCTCTTGTGGTTCGTAAATGTTTAACCTGTAGTAGTATCCTTTACACTAAGGAATATAGTTAACCAAGAACTGTTAGTATTTTTAAAATGCATTCATATAGTTTGCTTACTTTATCCTTTTTTTATTTGCAGCTGAAAAATGAAGAAAAAGATACATATGAGGAAAACCTGCATTACCCTTTTCTTCTTGTTTTAACCAAACACAGATAGAAGATGACACTGTTTGTTGGTTTGTTTTGAGATGGACTACTCAAAATAAATCCATGTACGTGGATGGTCAGGAAGTGGGAGGGTTCTGTTTCTCCACCTTTTGTTCCTAAGTGATCGTTATAGAAATATTTCTAATATTCCTAAGTACTGAAGAAGATACCGTGTTTTGTTTCATATATTACAGTGTGTAAACGTTGAGGCATCTATCTGTATCATTTTAGAACTTATTTTTCCAATTATATTCCTGCCTAAAATCAGCCAGACTTCAAATGTATACATAAACAAAGGTGTAAAGCGAGCTTCCGTCTCTCTTGTGCCTTTAAACTTGCATGCACTTTGTTAATCTCTTCAAATGCTACTTTTGGGTTCTATTTGAAAATACATGAGTCATATACTTTGTGGTGGTATATAACTGGCTGTTCACTATTTTCATTTAATGAGGAAGATAATAGTTTTCTTAGGATCTTTAAAAAGTGCACCTATTGCATCCTAGGATTTTTCTGTCTTTCTTGACATTCCACTGTGGATTTTTCTATCCATTCAAAATTGAAATGTCCTAATTTGCTTCCATGATGAAGGTTTTGTAATATATATGTGTATATATCTTTTTTTTACAGCAGGACTTTTCTTCTGTAGATGTATAAGAAAATATGCATCAGACAAAAGCCTCATAAACTGACCATTTGTCCTTTGGACACAATAGCCTGCCCAGCCCCTCTGCTCCTCCTCTCCAATTATGTGTGATTAGTCTCAGTGTGTTGTGTCAAGAAGGGGGAGTGTGCTGAGTGCTTATTATCTGTTTAGGTACAAGAAGAGCACATTTAGGTTCTGACTATGAATGGAAAGTGAGCCTTTATCAGGACTAAAATCTAAATGCTACTGTCCTAGAAATCGCTTTTTTAAAAAATACGTCCTTTTCTGATACATTCTGAGAAACACTATAGCAGCTGAAGGATTTTGTAGTTTAATCGAATTATCTCACTTGAACTAGTTTAAATTGTGATATACTGTGTTTATAAACATTTAATATGACTTTTCTTGCACGGGCAAGGGCAAAGATCCTACAAAGAAAGAGGACATTTTCTTTTTTTCTTAACAGTTTAATAAAATAATTTAATGACCTCTCAGGAAAACAACCTGGATCATTAAAGAATCCTGTACAGTCTCTAACCAGAACACTTTGAAAATGATGAAAAAAGAGAGAGGGATATAGAGACAGACAGAGGACATGACTGAGAGAGGGAAGTACTAAATGCATGGAAGTGTAGAGGTTCATGTTGAAATGCATTTGTTAAAATAATTACATTTTCGCAATAAGCTTTCTTCCATATTTAACAAATTGGGCAGCATGTAAACCGCGAGCTCGTGAAAGTCCCTTTCTTTTTGCTCCTCTCAAGTAAAATTCTTCACTACCGGTTTGCATGTCCTTGTATTCAATACTTTTTATGCTCCATTAGAGCACCTAGATGGATCTCAGAAGGCATAGGTCAAGTCGCAGTTAGATCATACATTTCTTTCTCACAAAAACTTGAATTGCAATGCCAAGTGATGGGCTAACATCACAATAACAGCAATTTATTCCTCTTTTGATAAAAAGCAGTCTATTCTCAGTGTTAGATAAAGACCAGGGGCAATGCAAACCAACCATTTATTCTAGAATTGAGTAGCAGATATCCCCTATAGCTGGTATGAGTTTCGTATTCAAACTCTTGTTGGAAGATATTCATCTAATAAGAAATGAAAAGCATTTAGGAATAGTTTAAAGTTGCTGTAAAGGTGGCTTTGGTTTAATTGCTTGTGTTCTGTTTGGCCCACAGAGCAGTGCCTTTGTTTCCTCTAAAAATATGTACAAGCAAATCTTTATAATCAGCAAAGGAAAGTAAAAAAATAGCAACATATGTGAATCTTTTATTTTTGAGAGGGCTTGAACATCTACCGTATGATAAACTAATAAAGATTATTAGTTGCTGAAAACAGAACCAGTGTCACTGGAAATTTTGTTTTTAGCTCTAAGAAGAAAACAGTTTTACTAAAACGAGTAGCTGATAATTGCTTTTTATTTCTTTAGCGTCCGTAGCTTGAGCTGAAGGCTTTGCACAGGTGCTGCCGTCCTTAAAGTGTGTAATTGATGGCTTGTTTACCAAAGATGCATTTAGGCTTCATCCTGCAAACTCACATTGTAGCTCCACAGGCAGTAAAGTTACTCATCTACATAAGTGTTTGCAGGTTTGGACTGTGCAGATATTTTTAGAGGTATATCAGCAAGCATTTTTTCTTTTAAAATGGGTATTGAAAAGTCACAGCTACAGGGTTTTGTGCGTGTGAGAGACTAAAAATATTGGTTTTTTTAGACATCTCCGAGAGTCATGCGCTTTATAGGTATGACTGACTTTATAAATTGTTTCTGAGCGCTTATATTTTAATAAAAGTACAGTGTTTATTAATCAGTACCTCAAAGATCTTGCTTTTAAAAAGTTAGGCAGGTTATCAAATCATGCGTACAAAAATGTATCGGAGCCTTTTGTGTGTCATGCTTTAGCTGGCCTCTGATACTTTCTGTATTTTTAATGATATAGCTTACTGTGTTCCATAACAGAATATTAAGCTTAATTAGTTTGTGTTTTCCAAGCACTTTAAAGATGAAAAACACTGTACAAGAGCTATGCCGTCTTCCCTGGCAATAGGAACATCAGACTGATGCAAGTTTTCCTTCACATATGTTGGTAGCTTTAGAGCGATATTGTGTGGTCCTCCTTTCTCAGGGAAAAATGGCAGAGAGAAATGATCTTCTTGTGGACGTCCCCATGGGTGCAGTCCTAATGCAGCTGATGCCACTGGCAGTGAGTTATGATCTGTAGAATAAAAAAGACCAAGGAAAAAATATTCCATTTCCTACTGTGAGACCTGGCAAAGGCTTCCTGAAAAATTACAACCCAGTCCTAGCTGCTAACGTTATGGAATAACAGGACAGATCTTTCAATTTGGGAAATATACTTGATTTGAAATGAAAAACGTCTTAAATGTGAGCTGAGCCGGGAGAGCTCACTACCCCAGGTATCAGCCTAGCCTAGCAAAATTTGTATTATCAAGTCAGTCATGTTTTGCCTATGGCTTAACCGCTACATGTTTGTGTGAGAAGGGAAGTGGGATTAAAACTGTTCCCCCCGCCATGAGAAACATCCTTACATCTTGAGGCTGGCTGCGTAGGGTTTATCAAGTGTTGTATCTCCATTACACCTTGCCTTCGTTGTGTCTTGAACAAAAGAGGATGCAGTGGGAGGAGCATTTGATCCACCTCTGGATATGGTAGGTGGCATGGCTGATATGGCGGGGGAACAAGGAACAGGCAGTAATGCGTTACGAGTCAAAGAGAACAGCATTATATCACCCTCTTTCACCTGCTCTCCCTAATCCAGAAGGGAAAGTAGCCAGGTCCCTGTCTTTACACAGGGCAAATTATAAATGCATAGTTTAGCCTGAATTTTTTGACGTGGGACTATTCTCTTCTTTAAAAGCAGGGGACGAATGGTGATGTCAAACTGAGACTCAATTAACTCTTATCAAATGTTTTGGGATGCTGTTAGAAGGTGCTAAGAAAGCATGTACTAGTGGTTATATCTAAAACATTTTGTGCATAGAGTGGTCATCCCACGTTGTTTCCTCAAAAGGGAGAGAGCCAGCCTGGTCAGTTTATATCTTTTGATTCACCTTTTTAGATTCTCCTGAGTCAGATTAAGATGGTTTGTCAGCCCTTCACTGTCACAGATCAGTAGCCTAATGCTACTGTAGTAGCATTATAGCAGTATAGCTTATAACAGTAGTTATAAGCACATCAGCATATTCTGCAAGGTGGAAGAGCATGGAAGAGCTGATTTTCAGTATTCTCATCTGCAATACAACAGCATTTAACCCAGCCAAAACCAGGGCACCCCAGTATGAAGCCCCATAACACTAAAATAAAGCCAGTACATTACACAATGAAGTTGAAGCTGAATGAATAAATAAAGGGTGAAAACCTCAAAATATTATCATGCCCATTTCCCAGATAAGGGAGCCTGAGGCACAGACAGTATTGCTGTCTCATTTGCCTATAGCCATAGAGAAAGCCGCCAATACACTCCAGAACTGACCCCAGATCTTGTGAGACCAAGTGCAGCATCTTCTCTGCAAGATCATTCACCCTGTCTGACCTGTGGACTCTCTTCAAACAGCGGAATGTAACAAACCTAACTTTTCTTTTCCATTTTTAAAGGATTTAGCCTATTAAGGCTCCTTGCTTAGTCAGCAGCTGGCTTACTGCCAAAAAGCCTAGCATATTGTTGTGGCTGGGTAAAAGCTGGATATTTTCCCTCTCTGCCCAGCAGCGACATTGGATCTTCATTGTCTTCCTGTGTGTAAAGTGTGTGGAAGTAGAAGGAAGATGCACGGAGGGGTAGTCCAGATGGCATTCCACAGCCTAAGAAGAAAC